TATGTATGTATATATGTGTATATATGTATATGTATGTATGTATATATGTGTATGTATGTATATGTATGTATGTATATATGTGTATGTATGTATATGTATGTATGTATATATGTGTATGTATGTATATGTATGTATGTATATATGTGTATGTATGTATATATGTATATGTATGTATATATGTATATGTATGTATATGTATGTATGTATATATGTGTATGTATGTATATATGTATATGTATGTATATATGTATGTGTATGTATGTATATATGTATGTGTATGTATGTATGTGTATGTATGTATATGTATGTGTATGTATGTATATATATATATATGTGTATATATATGTATATATATATGTATATGTATATATATGGCTATCTCTGTGCAGTTTACCAAATCTCTGAAGCACTTTGGGGAGGAAGAAGGGAGGATGCAGCCCGATGAGTTCTTCGGGATCTTTGACACCTTCTTGCAGTCGTTCAGCGAGGCGCGGCAGGACCTGGAGAACATGCAGCGGCGCAGAGACGAGGAGGAGAGGAGGGCACGAATGGAGGCCATGGTGAGACACACAGTTTAGAGAATAAAACGGCAATGGTTTTCTTTCTTGACTGGCAATAACAAAGGCCTTCTAGTTTACAACATTTGAAACAATAATTGAAAACCCTTGTTTTTGTCTTTGTGCACTAATTTCCTATGTCTCCTGTGTCTTCGTTTTTCAGCTCAAGGAGCAGAGGGAGCGGGAACGGCGGGCCAAGAAGAGCGGGGCCTCAGACGAGGTTGGCGGGGAGTTTGACGACCTGGTGTCGGCGCTGCGTTCCGGCGAGGTCTTTGACAAGGACCTGAACAAATTCAAGCGGAACCGCAAGCGCTCCGTCAACCAGCTGGTGGAGGGTGGTGGCCGCGAACGGGCCGTCACCAAGGTCAACTACTAGGTCAGGGGAAAGGAAGGAAAAAACAAACAAAAACAAAACTCTAGACACTTAAATTCTGCCGCGGTGTAGATCTCCTAACACCTTTAAGTCCAGGTCCTCGAACAGTGACCATTGACATTGGACAGAATGTAAATAACGGCTAGACTGAACATGTTGAGGCATGTGTGGACAGCCACGCTGCTTTGAACGATACCCTCCTCGGATTGGTCTTGCGAAGCGGACCCCAACCCGTTCGTCCTGGACGTTGTGTGATCTCCTGAGCCGGGCGAAGGACAGTTGGCATCCATGGATGGATGAACAGACCACTGTGACACATCACCCCATATCTTTTCAACATATCCTCTTAACACTGTGCTCAAGCTTCCAACCCTGTTTTCCCCTCACAAACCTCTCATTCTTCCTCTGTGAGGTCCTCGAGGCTGGAGCTGGAGCTGGAGCAGTCCTACCTGGCTCTAAAACACATAGGACTCCGGGATCAGCCCGTCACACTGTACATAGACTTGAGGCCAAGCAAATGGATTGGATGAAGGGCTTTCGTCAGATTCCAACTGAAAAGAGAAGGTGGGAAGAGTGGAAGTAGTCCCTACCATCCACGGTCATGGTTGCTTCCAGTGTCCCACAGAAAAGACACTTCTCAGCCCAGTATCAACGGGTATTCATGAATTGCCTTTACTGGAAAAAAGGGATGTGCAGTCGGCAAATCCCAGAATGCTTTGTAGGCTTCTGAAAGAGAGAGGAAGGGTACATGCTTCGTCCCGACGGCCACACAGCATTCCCAGAAAGGACGTATGCAACACCCCGGGCTGCAGTTTTTCAGAGGATACAACTCGTCTCAAGGAAAACCAACTCCTCATTTTGATCCACCTGACAAAGTGATGACTGTGCCACAAAGGGTCGAGCCTCGCATCCACCCGTCAATGGTTTCCACACCGCTCTGGCATTAAACCAGTGCCAAAGCAAAGAGAGGACAAATGTATTAATATGAAAACATATTGCAATTAGGTGTTGATATATATTTATATTTAGATGCAGACAAGCTAATTGCAAAGATTTAGTTTTTTTTAGTTTTTTTTTTTATGTTTTCATGGCATTTGGGGGCTTTTGTACACGCAATGCATTATTTGTCGGTGTTGCAAGTTCACATCGGTGTTGAAGTGAATTTATATACATTTTGCGTATATACAACAGAAAAAACAATAACTGCTTGTCCTTTTCACACCTGTACGTTTTGTTTGCACTGTAGCTTTTCTGACCAACTTCACACTCCTCGAGCCGACCACGTGGACCCCGCAGCAGCGGCCAAAGGGAAGCTGTACAGCGGTTCTCATTGGGCCTCTAGTGGTTACCTGCAGGGTCTGATCCACTGGTGCTAAAACACGCCTGGCTCAAGGCAGAGCCACCGGCCCAGTTAAGGGTTTCTCAAGTTAAACTAGTGCTTGATCCAGGCTCATCGTACGGGGCTCCTGTGTGTTTTTTTACTCCGGTTGGCATGGTAACACATCCGACTACACCACGGGATGAGTGTTTTATTGCAAAGTGAGGCCACAACAAAGCACTTAGAGATTGAAATTCAGTGGGAGCCTCAGAGAGCGTCATAGAAAACAATCCTTACTTCCATCTTTCCTTCCAGCTTCTCTAGACCCCGTTACTATGTGCAACCTGTTGCCAACCAAGGTCACTTTTCCTTTTGAAATATTCAATGTAGTATGTTTATTTTAATTTTTTAATTTATATATGCATGTCTAGAGCCTTAGCAGAAGGCTGACAAAGGCTGCGGTGTAAAGTATGTGCTCGCCCTCAACAACATTTCGATGGTTTCCTTGAAGACGGACATGCAGTACAGGGTAGCTCACGACACAGAGGGGGCTCTAATCTGGGCTCCGCTGTGGTGGGAACCACTCCTGGTCCATCCTTAGGGAGACGAGGAAGCATCATGGGGCATCGAGTGAAAGTGTGGATGGGTTAAAAAAACAAGAACGTCTTCAGGAAAGCAGGTAGAGGCCAACCACACGCACATGAAGTTTGTATGAAATATCCTGTGATCATCCAGTTTGTTGTTAGAAAAGCCATTTTTAGTCAGTCCATCTGCATTGCCTGGTTACTTTAGTACAGCATAGTACAGCAACACGTGTGAGCTCGCCAGCAACACGGTAGGAAGAGGAGACTTTTCGGAGCAAATTAAGAACTGGACACATCCTCTGTTTAATCTTCCTGTTGTGCATGTTTTAGCTAAGGCTTCGTGTTTTGGCGTTCGCCCTCACCAACATGGGTTTGAGTTTGAAATCACCTCATCCCCTTCCTTCAGTTTGTAAGGGAGGAGTGAAGTGGTTGTTCTCACAGTCACAGATCAACACCGAGGAGTTAAATTAGAGACACGTTCCCTCTGCACGTGGTTCAATGAGTGCTCGGTGGGTTTACAGCAGTGTTGCAAAACACAAGAAAAAGACATTTCCGGTGTTGGATTACTCATCGTCATTTTATATTTCATTTCCAGTGTTTCCGAACAGATAAACCCGTCACTCAACACCCACTACTGTATGTGATTACTGCAGTGGTGATGGCTCTCCCAGTTTGTCTTTATTCTTTATTCTTTTTTCTGTTTTCACACATGTACCATTCCTTTTTATCATGTTTTCAGTCTGGCTCTCCCAAAAGAAAACTGCAGTGTTCGCAAGTGATATGCAGGTTGGAATTAGACTATCTGGCGCCATCTTGTGGCTTAAGACAGTCACAATGTGACTCTCGACCCCCAACAGGCGTACCTCATTGTGATCAGAGAGGGTTGACCTTCTACCTGTACAGAGAAAATTCTTTTTTGCCTAAACCGTTAATGAAACCTCCGGTAAGTGAAGTGACCACAATGGGTCACTTCACAGAGGAACCTCATCCTATACCTGGGGTGTAGTCCTTTCATTTGTCCTCAAACGGAAGCAGAGAGAAGCTGAAGTGAGGTTGAAGAGACAACGTGACACTTTAGAGATTAAACCAAATCTATTCAAACTCCCACACAGCCCTGAGGGGGAAATGACGTATGATTGCCTATTCTTTAACCAGCATCTCATGAGCTATTGGATTTCCTAACCTCCTCTTGTCGTTCCAAATAATCAGAGTTAGCGTACAAGACTTTGGCAGAGCATTTAAAACTCTTAATCCAGAGCTTTGACCCCGTATTGTAGTGCAGACTATTTACTGAGGGGCGTTGAGACAGTCAGTATTATCACACGTTTAGGTTGTTACATGTTTGGATGTTTATTTCGGCCATTGACTGGCTGATTGCGGAGTGTACAGGGGGAAATCAGAGGAATGAAATTAATAGCTTGTTCAATGCACTTTTATTATGGGACTTTTCCGGCACCATTGCGAGGGTTTCGACCCCCCCCTCTAGAAATGAGATGGGTGCAACGAAACGAGTGGTGCAAAAAAAAAAAACATGGTGTGAAGAAGAGGGAAAACATGATGGATGGCAAAGGTGGGATTGGTGGGGACATGGACACAAAGAGGAGATTCTCCTGTCCTCACCCGTCTGAGTCACCTGATTCGTGTGTAGAAGGACAAAACGGGGGAAGGGGGGGATTTTTATCCGCCACATTTCTGTCACATCATGCACTTGCCGTGGACCTGGACGCCTGAAGAATTGTGCAGAACTTGTGATGTGTTGACTTGCAGTACAGAACACACCTGTTGCACCACAATTTGTACTGCCTGAGAGAAGTTGCACCCGGTTTCAGAGGCTGTGTGAGTGCGAGGACTCGGTATTTTTACGGTTGGAAAAAAAAGTATCCTCCACCGAAAAGATGTACAGTTGGATAAAAAAAAAAGACGCATTTTGTACACCATTCTTGATGTTTGAGATAAGATTAAAAAGAAAAAAAACAATGATTCAAACATTGAGGAATGTTCCATTTTCCTGTAAATTGTACCTCTATTTATTTGCCTTATTTAGTTTGCTATATTTTGTACGTACACACAGCATTATATTAAAAAATATGAATAACTAAACTGTGGTCCGTGTGATGGATAGTTGGAGACTGTTTTTTTCATTTCTATAACTTTATTTTAGTTTTGTATTTTTTTTTCTCAACCTGTCTTTTGTAGGGTTACAATAAACTGTTGTCCCTTACAAATGATGGTGTTGTTTTCTTCTGAATCATTTATTGATATGGTCATAGCTATAGCATACAGTATATACTGTTAGCCAATCAGTCTTCCATCGACGGAAATTGTTCTGTATAATGCGAAGTCATTTGTTGAGAAAAAAACAACATTCTGCTGGTTTCAGTAGTTTCATATCTTTTATTGACTGAACGCTTAACTGCATATACAAAACTAAAAATAGATTAATTATAATAAAAATGTAATTAGCATCTTCAGTTTAGGATCTATATATTCACAATGCATGTGCACCAAAAGCATATAGACTATATAGATACAGGCGTCATCACTTTTTTTTCAACATTTTAGAGCATTCATGATCCATCTGTACTATGTTTTTCCATGTTATTAATGTCAGAGATATTTCCTTTGAGTGACGTAGTTCATCGCTGTCACCACTGGAGGACAGTGAACACATAGTCAGTGTTGGCTGAGAGCTTTTGAAATGAAACGATGAAAAAAGAACAGCGGTGTTTCTAATATTCTGTCCTTCACTGTGTAAATAGCATGACGCGGTGCGGATACTGATAACCGATAATCTATATTAAGCTGCCCATTTAGCTTTAGTTTGGATCTTCAGACACCTATGGGTGATGTCACGGAGACTACAGTAATGCTTTATACCAGGGGTCTCAAACTCAAGGCCCGCGGGCCGAATCTGGCCCGCCACGTCATTTTATGTGGCCCACGAATCCGGCAGCAAAAAAAAATATCCCCGTAGTTGAAATTATGAGACAGAAAGTCAAAATTATGATAGAAAGTCAAAATAATGAGATACTTAAACACAGTCATAGAAGCAGCTCTTTGGCTGGTTACTGTACACTTGAAATGGAAATGTATTGTGAGTACATTGAAGACTACTTTAAACGTGGCTTTACAACACATGAAACACTTCACGTGGGATTGTGCAAACGCACCCTTGAAAGGATTTTAAAACCTCTTGAGCTCAGGACTTATTTGTAGGCCTCTGCTCGAAAATGACTAAAGTGACCACAGTTCTGTAACTACAAGGTCTATTTTAATAATTGTTGATGCTATAATCAGATCACAACACTTGTGAGGTTGTTCAGTGGGTAATATTGTGTATATGTTGCTGGTTAATATAGTAAATGAAGACATTACACAGCTCAAATTGAAAATATTCAGGTTCGCCTGAAGAAAAAGCACTTTCATTGATATTATGTTTTTGAAATAATGCAGCTGGCTCCCTAAAACTCTCCCAAATCATAGCACAACTGATGTATGTATGATCAGTAGTCGTAGAATAACGTTTGGCTGGGATAAAGTGAAGAATAAGAGGCTTTAGTACAGAAAGGTCATGCAAGGTCATCATTTTCGAACCAGCTGAACGTATAGGAGCGTGTTTGGGTTATCAGCATCTAAGAAACTAAATTCTTGACATCAATAGAATTATTAATGTCAGTAACAATTATTAATGATTATTAATAATAACGGGGCACCACCCTGCGAACAGGGACCAATAACCAAACAATAAAACTAAGTCTCATAATTAGTGTTCACTCATAATATCAATAGTCTGAGTACTATTACACATTCAGAGTGAGAGTGAAGGTTTAAGTTCGAGCACAGGCCACTACATCCAGTTATTATTACACACATATGCACGAGTAATCAGACAACTGCTCTTTAAAATATAACAGAGTTTATTAAATAAAATAATAAATGATCAAATCAAGTAATATCAAAATCAACAAACACTATCATACAATTATATGTCTAATACCTAAAGTCAAATGAATAAAGGGGGGTAGGGATATGTATATAGACATATATACGTGTGTGTGTGTGTGTGTGTGTGTGTGTGTGTGTGTGTGTGGAAACGAAGGGGGGGCTACTCAAACAGTGATGGTACGTAACCTAAAAAGGGGCGTGTGAGCCTACAAGCAAAGATGGCGGAGTTTAGGGACCCGCGACAAGATAGCTGAGAGGTGGCTACGTGTAACCACGTGGGACGGCGCACAATGTGGGTTGGGACAATAGATTACGCGACCACGTGTCTGAGAGGTTCACCCAAAATCAGTGAATCTAACTATGTGTGTGCGGGTTAGGAGGGGGAGAGAGAGCTCTGAGCGCGGTGCTCGGCGCTGCAGTGAGAATGTGAGGAACAGCTGATCACTCGTAAAGTCTGCGGTCGGATTATGAACCGACCGGTTACGGTTGCGGTTCTCAATCTCACTCACAGAGCCGATTTAAAGAAGAGAGAATAAAACCAAACAAAATAAAATAATCCCCAAAACAAAACAGATCTTTATCACTGCGGTGAGATGCGAGTATTGCTCTCGTATCACCCCGAAACTCGGTCGGCGAGACGAGGCTCCGCCACCGTGGTTTTGGTCTTTGAAGTGATAAAATCACAACCTCCACATCCACTAGCAGCGACGGATCTAATGTAAACAGTTACAGCAGGAAATACACAATATAACGGGACTCTGTGGTCCGCGATGCTTGCGCAATAACACGTTATAACACGACAGTAACTTAACGTAACAAGATACAGGAATAACAACGACATAACGAATAGCCTAAATTAAGCTAATGCTAGGCCCAGATACCAGTAACTCTTACTTGTAGAAGCTTCATTCGGTAGGGTCTGGTTCCAGTGGTAGGAATCACTCTGTCCTCGATGAGTCGCTGACTCTCGGTGGCGCGGCCTTGGGGCTGGCTGGTGCAGACTCGGCCTCCTCGCTGCAGAGAGGGGCTTTTTAACTTCGGCTGAGGGACGAGGTTTGGGTCGTCCTTCCCGGAAATCTTCGGCGAGGAAAGATTGTTAATCGTCCTTCTGCCGGCGGTGTGTACACAAAAAAGGGGGGAACGGGGCATAGAAGTTATCCGTTCTCACACTACAGGATCCAAAACTCAAAATAAAACACAGTCTGTTCGACCAGCGAATGTTGCATGTGACCTGATAGGATTTGATGAGGCCGCGGCTCCTCGTGAATCTTCTTGTTGCCAGGACGAGGTCCGGAGGGAAGAGGCCTTGTGGACCTCCTCACATCAGCATGTCTGGACGGAAGAGGAAGAATTCTAGCTGTGCTCAGGCTTATAAACCAGGTGGCACAACCAGTGGGGGGCCCTTTCTTGGCCAATGAGGGCCAAAAAAGGGCCCTCATTGGGCCCTCAACCTGACCAGCAAGGGCCCTCAACCTGACCAGCATCAGGTTTCTGCTGGAGCTGGGGGGTGTGGTCATCCGGCATGAGGTTTCTTGCAGACCCCAGGTCAGGCGTTTTGGTGAAAGGAAGGAACATGGCTGCTCCTTTGTTTGAAAAACACGTGTGAAGGTCTCAGCCAGCCAGGAGAGCAGGTTCAGATCCCAACAACTATATAACTATATATTTCACTTTTTTATCACTCATATTATTCAATACATCCAAATACAGCTGTTAGGAATCATTTTGAGATTCCTAACATCATCAGAGCCTGTTTCTGGCTGTCATCTATAGGATTTTCTCAGTTCCTGTGTGTGTATGGGGCTGTAGCTCAGCCTATCATCGGTCGATTTCAGTCAATGAGCCCGCCTTCGACGCGTCAGAGTCTCAGGAAGCGTGTGTCGAATTTGGTGTTGATTGACAGAAGTTTCAGCCAGTAAAGTTGCAAGAAGTGCCGCGTCTCCCCGAGTGTAAATTTCCGCTCGGAAGTCTGACCATGGTGGATGACCGCTCTTATTCTGGAAACAGCTCGGAAGTAAACAGGATGCAGTTGGCAACAATGATTCCAGCTTTGAAACTGATAATCTGCGACGTTATTCCACTCATTTTTCATAAAACCGGACCAAAAACCCATGATTTTTTTCAGCGGAGGGCAGTGCGATGGTACCTTTGTCCACTCACAGCTTTCTACTGCTTCCACGGAGAGAAAAACCGAAGGTATTTATGTGTTCGGCCACGAGTGCTGATGCTATAAAATGCGTTGCAATGTAGCCGCTAGCTTCCGGGTACAAATATTGATTTGCCGTACTCATAACGGCGATTTATGCCCAGGATTTCATGCTTTTATGACACGTTTTCTAGATGCTTATATCAGTAGTCTATAGTTGTGTTTAGAGTGTGTAAAAAGTGACTTCTATGATAGTGTTGCCCATACGTTGCTGTTTAATCTGGTAAAACAACTGGACAAATCCACAATACTGGCGAATAATAAGGCTATTTTTTCGAACAATATTTTCAGGGGTGCTGAGCCCGAGAGCCCCCGAATTCGGGGGCGTCGTGTGCAAGAGGTTTTAAGCTTTGAACAAAGTTATTATAATAACTTGTTTGATATTTGTCTTTGCTATTTTCTTTAAAAGGTTGATCTTTGATAGAGTAATGTGGGTTTCTTAACCCTAAATTAAAAGGATTTAAGTTATAATAACAGAAATGTGCTGAAATATATTTTTACATTGATATAACTGCATGTACAATATTTTTACAATTGAATAAACAATAATCAAATGCAGAGACAGTTATTTACCAATATGTTAGGAGTAGTTACATTTACACAGTCTTACATTTACAACCGGCCCTTTGAGGGCGACCGTGATGCTGATGTGGCCCAGAGTGAAGATGAGTTTGAGACCCTTGCTTTATACAGTCTATAAAATAAACAATAAAAAATAATGATTGAAATTAATAGTCTGGCGGAGGACCCTGTCCGGGAGGTCTTTAACTCCCACCTCCGGAAGAACTTCTCACACATCCCGAGGGAGATTGGGGACACGGAATCCGAGTGGACCATGTTCAAAGCCTCTATTGTGGACGCGGCCGCTAGGAGCTGTGGCCGGAAGGTCATCGGTGCCTGTCGTGGCGGCAACCCGAGAACCCGGTGGTGGACACCGGAGGTGAGGGAAGGCGTCAAGCTGAAGAAGGAGACCTTCAAGGCCTGGTTGGCCCAGGGGTCTCCTGAAGCAGCTGACAGGTACCGGCAGGCCAGAAGGGCTGCAGCTGCGGTGGTCGCGAATGCTAAAACTCGGGCATGGGAGGAGTTCGGGGAGGCCATGGAGAAGGACTTTCGGTTGGCCTCAAGGAGGTTCTGGCAAACCACCCGACGGCTCAGGAAGGGAAAGCAGGACTTACCCCAGGCTGTTTTCAGCAGGGGGGGGGGGGGAACTGCTAACCCAGACGGAGGACATCGTCGGGCGGTGGAAAGAGCACTTTGAGGAACTCCTAAACCCGACAGACACAACAATGCAGACGAGCTGAAGGCCCCTATCAAAGCAACCTGGGCTTCCATAACACCTCAACAATGCCACAGGCTCATCGCCTCCATGCCACGCCGCATTGATGCAGTAATTCATGCAAAAGGAGCCTCGACTAAGTATTGAGTGCATACCGTATACTGTACATGGACATACTTTTCAGATGGCCAACATTTCTGTATTAAAAATCCTTTTTTAAATTGGTCTTATGTAATATTCTAATTTTCTGAGATACTGAATTTTGGGTTTTCATTAGCTGTAAGCCATAATCATCAAAATTAAAAGAACTGCTTGAAATATATCACCTTGTGTGTAATGAATCTATGTAATATATGAGTTTCACTCTTTCAATGGAATTACTGAAATAAATTAACTTTTCGATGATATTCTAATTTATTGAGATACACCTGTCCTCATCACCACTATGATGATGAGGCCTGTATAAATGATTCACCCCCACCTTTGAAATCATAAATCTGCCCCGGCTTTAAGTATTTACTTGAACTTCACTTGATTTATTGGAGCTGAGGTTTTGAAACGTGTTTTATTGTCCCAGTTAAAATGAGTCTGGTGAGCAAGCGTACTGTTCGGACCGTCGGCCTCCTCCTTCATCTCCTTCACCTCACTGATACACTCTGCTTCTCCTCGCCAGTTGGGTGGGTTTTCAAACAATGCCAGGTGGTGTTCCTGTGCAGGCTGGTTCCTCCACAATCTGATGCTTAAACTAGATGTGCAGTTAATGTTGTTTTTTATACAATTGGGAAGGTTAAGTTGTAATGTACTTTTTTGCTGTAAGAAGTTTGTCAATACAGATATTTCCACACAACGCAGTAAATGAAACACCCGAAGAGTCCACTTCGATTGAGATTTATTTATAGACAACAAAGAAAATATATATTGTCATCATACACTAAATGTAATACATAGGGAGAAAGTATCTGACAAACTTATAATATAACACAATGCTAACTTAAGTATCAAGGTACTGCAAACATAAGTGTACTAAGAGCAAGGAAAATCACATTTTTACTCAGACCCAATTGTTGCCAGAACTCATTCCCCTATATATGCTCTGATCCAGGCCACTCCTACTTCCTGCTCATCATCAGACTAACACAAGATATGTAATATCTGTCACAAACCATGTTCGCATGTTGTTCAGCATTAAAACCACGGGTGGTTCTTGCCACTACTGTATAACAAACGATGTCTGTCACATTAAAATGTTGATGAGGTTTGAATCAGGTTTTTTGCAAAGTAGAGGGAACCAGTGTATTCTTCCGTAAGATGCAATGACAGTCAACAGCCCAGTCCTTTGTGGATAGAATAATAACTTATATCCGCGAGAACAAACATTTAATAATTATTCAAACCAACGTACCTTTTCACTGAGGCTGTCATTTAAAAAAATGTAATGATAATGTAGGGACCGCATATGTCCACTAGATAGCGAAAGACAAAGATTTTCTGTGTGTTTGTACAAACTTCTGGTACTCAACATCATGGAAAAACTGGGTTTCCTAGAATTTGTGATTTGTTTGGTTAAATGTGCGACACGGTTAGAAAACTATGATTTGTATGCAGTACTTTTACTACAGCAGTGGCGGCTGGTCAATAGAGGGCGCTAGGGCGCCGCTCCACCTTGAGCCACAACAAATAAAATAAAATAAATAATGATAATAATAAACTATACAAATTGTCAATATTTGTGTTTTTGAAATATGGAATAACACAGTAATATGTGTAAAATATGATATCTGCGGTAAATATATGCCTTTTCTGCGCGTCCTCTCCGCGTGTCTGCACGTACTCTCCGTGTGTGCGCGTCTCAGTTGGCGAAACTGCCCAAAAGAGGCGGGTCTATGAAGCAGTTTAGCCAATTGCTGATTAAAGATATAAATGTGTGACATACAATTTAGCCAATCAGCGTCCTCAAATAGAGTCAGCTTGGCCCAAACTGCGCGTTCCCGTCCGGACTAGTCTCTACTGGCCAGCGCCAGCGCGAGCACTGCTCCTCCAAGCCCCGTTTGAGAGGAGAACTTTGGCGGAGAAACTGCAGGCCAAAGAGCTGATCCAGATCAGCCTGACCTGATCAGACAGCAGACTAGCGGGAAAGGGAAGCAGTACATGCAAAGCTTCTGTACTAGCTTTGCATGTACCAGACAGGTTTGGCTAGCTGAATGACGTCATGCTAATAACTTAGTTAGCTTTTTAAAACAACTGGGACAGACATGAAGCATCTGCTGAGAAATGGATATTTATAAATAAATAATTATATATATATATGTGTGTGTGTGTGTGTGTGTGTGTGTGTGTATTATATTATATTATACAGAATATTATTATATGATATATATATCCAGCTGTACAAAGGATCATATCAATGTTTGACGAAAGTGCACATTAGATTTGTGAGTTTATCATACAGAATATTATTATATGATATACATATTATATTATACTGAATTGCCTGTGAGGGTGACAAATAAGATGTCCTGACGTGTTTGTCAAAGTGTTATTTACTGCTTTTTTTCATGTTGGAATAAATGTTAAATATTTAACTGCAAAGTAGTAATGCGTGTTTGATACCTTAATTTGTTTGCATTAAATCATTCTGGGATGTTTGCTGAAATTGATTGGATGTGGCACCGCCCTACCTAGAACATGTTCCACCAGCCACCACTACAGTAATATTACAGTGCACTCACAAACATAATTCAGAAGCTCATTTGCATTGTACACTAACGGTTTTAAATGTGCCATATTTCCATTCACATATCAGACTGAGGTGTTCAAACCTAGGGCCTTTGTAAACACCCTCTGTGCATCATGGTGAAGAAAGTATCCAAAGCTGTGTAGGTGGAGATAAAAGAGAGGCTCATTGCTGCTGGGATTCCAAATAATGGAATATATCCAGACCCTTCCTCTGCTGCCATGAATGCAGCATCAACCATAGATGAGCACAGCAGCTTAATGATAAGCTCTTCGCTGATTTCATTTCCAGCCAAAGGGGATGTCATCACTGCTTTGAGATCATTCAAAGGCACACGTTCACTACGAGCAAGATTCTGCAGTGACGAGCTGTCAAGACCAAAAGTAACTTGGTACTGTCTGATGACAGTAACCAGCATGGCTACATCAGTGGCAAAAGAGAGCCCAGGAGCTGGTGCAGATGCTATGCCTGCAGACATTAAAGCATGGTACTTTATTTTTGACCAAAAAGCCTCTTTCTTCTTGCTGATGATCCCAAGACTGACATCGGGCATAGCCAACAGTAGAGCATCTCTCTTGTGTGCAGGAAGTTCTTTCCTCAGGGTCTCCTCCAACAGATGGAAATCATGCAGGTGGAGCTCAACGCTGGAGACCAGGAAGACTTGTTGACCATGTTAGTCCAGACAAAGAGAATAGTTTATTTCAGATGATGATATAATAAAATTTGAGAAAGCCCCAGCAACCCTTTCCAGGCACAACACAAAGACAGGTATCTTTTTTTTTTTAGATCTGAGGAGATAAGCAGTCAGGCCAACAGACCCTCATTAGTGGCTCTGACAGTACCACACGACTCAATTTACAACCTGTTAGCTCTCCTTAGTTCTTCTCTGCCCTTTAAATTAGGCAGTGTCTGCTTGTCTTGCATATGCCTTAAAGTTTTAGGCATTTGTGATCTTCCGCTTTAACCTCAGACTTACCTTGAATGCAGTTTCCCCTGATTTTGTTAAGAGTCCTTTCTTTATTGAACGCTGACCCCTGACGTCTTTCTTCGTCACGTACGTTATGGTCAATCTTTGAGCGAACAAAGTAGAACTTTTTCCCCATTCTTTAAATCTCTTTAGCGAACTTCGCATCATTTTCTCTGAAGCGAGTGTCTGAGATGATGATGAAGGAGTCAAACCTTTTGAATTCAACAAGCTCCAGGTACTTGTCAGCTGGAAACTTGGTGGTGCCAATACCAGGAAGATCCCATAATATAACATTCTAATGGTTTGGATGGGGGTATGGTGTAACCTTTGAGGTGATTTCTACAATACCAGTGGGGGTAGCTCCCTCATCCCCGTCAGCTAAGCCTCTAAAGGCATTAACAAAGGTGGATTTACCAGAGCCGGACTCTCCTGTGATGCCAATATTTACTGGAATATCATTCTGCTGATCCAAATAAATCTGGATCTCGGCAGGTCCACTGGTTTGCAGAACTTTTTTAATTTCTTCTTCAAATCTATTAGCCATAGCTCTCCTTGAAAAATAAAGAAATTCAGAAATCATTGTACTATTTTATTTTGGGGAATTGCAGAACATATACACTCACCCTAATCTAATCAAGCACAAAAAAGTAATTATAATATTATTATAATACACAAAATTAAATGTATTTATTCTAAATGAAAAACATTCCCTCAAATCGATTTCCTTGCAGACTACAATCACAAGTAGGACAGTGCAAAGTGTGTTACATAGGACAAAGCTGATAAGCAAAGAGAAGTCACCAATTTTGACTGAATGTTGAACAAATCTAACTTTAACAGTCTTATTAAACAATACATAGTAATAAACAATAAAGTGCATTGTGTAACTGTTAATATACGTCTTACCGTATGAGGTACTTGAGCGTTGTTACTCAGCAAGAAAGTTCAACTTCTTTTTGTTCACTGTTGCACAGCTTCAGTTTTCAAGTAATCCGCCCTCTAAACATGAAAACGCCTTGCTGTGTATGACTCTCATATCACCAGGTTTACAAGAAACACAGAGAGGTTGGGGTCTGTTTATTATAGAGCTGCACCCTCTGATAATTGCAATTTATATGTTTATAGCTCACAAAAACGGAACTGATTGCTGGGAGAAGGCTGATATTGATCAGGGACGAAGTACATTAGTGTATTTATTCAAATGCTTATCAGGTTAGCTTTGGTTGATAGAAAGTCACTGCAGAAACTTGCGCAAATGTGACTTCAAGTGATCCAAAAGCTGCCATGACTTGCAGATGAAGATGAAAATCAAAAGTAAAGAGAAGAGGAGTAATACAAAATAACCTAATAAAGGTTAACACCACCACTGCAAAACTGCAACAAAATAGGATAATTAAATGTGGACTCTTAAATATCAGATCTCTGTCATCTATTAAATGATTTAATATCAGATAATCATATTGATTTATTTTGTCTTAATGAAACCTGGCTAAATTAATCACTCTTCCAAGTCATACACTGTAATGAATTGCTGTAGATTTACAAAGGTATCTTACAGGATTTAATAATAATAATAATAATAACTTTATTTGTATAGCACATTTAAAAACAGAGTTCACAAAGTGCTTTGACAGACAAGGCAATGTTTAATATACAATGTCATTTTTATATAGTATACGTCACTGTATTTTTATTAATCTCTCGTCGCAAACAATACTGTGATATTTTTCATGATTTTTATTACATACTATACTATGACATTTGTATCCATATGTGACATTATGACATTCTAATCTACACTAAGACATCTTTTATCACTTATTTCATGATAAACTATATTTTCATGATATTTTTATGACATACAATTTGACATTTTCTATGATATAGAATTTTCTATTTATTTTCTGAAATGTTTAAGTCAAACTACACTATGACAATTCTTATTTCATTTTATAGCATACCTATGATATTTTTATGACTTTTTTTGAAATATACTATGATATTTTCTGGGACTGTTTTTACTTTACTATATTTGTTATGGCGTTTTATTGCATATAATATTATATAGTGTATATATACTATACTATACATTTTTATTGCATTTCTATGGCATACCATTACTTCTATTTTTTATGACATACAACATAATTTTTTTCTTATGGGATAGTACAAAGATATTTTAATGACATTTTTATGTCATACGAATTTGTATGACAAACTATTCTATATTTTCTATAAAATGGTTTTATAATCTTTTTTTACGATGTTTTAATGGTGTAGTACTTTATATTTTTTGAAATTTGTATTTGTCTTTTTTGGCATACTACAGTTTTATATTTCTATGACATTTTTATGACAAACTATACCATGACTTTTTTTCACAACATACTATACTATTACGGCACACTAAACTATGATATCTTTAAACACATTTTTATGGCATACTATACATTGACATTTTTTATGACTTTTATGACATTTTGTTCAGGTCCACCTCTCGTCACTTGATGTCCTTGTCTCCATCCAGCCTGCTGCTCCTCCCCCAACACCTTGTGTCTTTTCTCTGAGAACCAACACAGAAAACAAATGAGCTCCCTAGATGGGCTGCAATGCCAGCTTCAGGTATTCTGACGTTCTGGACATCAGAGATAATATGATATGATATTCTCTGGAAGTGTAAATCACATTGATTCACTGAGGCCGCATATCTAAAAGTGTATGACAAATAAAAGCACGTCTTTAAAAACTCAAAATTAATATAAAACCACACAATAATAAAATAAAGAATTGCATAATGTTATTGAATAAAATGACAAAAAAAAGACACGCAGGATTTAAGTCAGTCATCAGAATTGACCACTATTCCATAAATTCAGGAAATTATTGCATTCATTTTGGTCAAATTCCCTTTCCAGTTTTAAGGTTGTTAATGCAGCATTGTGGCAGGTGAACCACTAGAGGGCACCATACTAGAGACAGACTGCACTCCACCGGCTTCACCTGGAGGGTGTTTCATAAAGCAGCATTGGGGAGCTGGCCTGAAAGCTGTGAACATCGCGATGCTCTTAAACCGATATCATTTATTTCAAATTAAGCAGACAAAACTTCAATATCAGGTGCAGGAGTACGTTGTAGCCGGGGGGGGGGGTTCCGTGTAAAATAATACTCACTGTCCTTTATGTCAAACTGTGTGTGAAAACTGAACACAGACCAGTAGAGATATATTTGATAATTTGCCACAAAGCACACAATTAGTGATGTGAGTTGCTGTACTTATGATACATTTTTATGAGGCCAAATTAGAAATACATAAAGAACACGAGCGGTGAAATGAGACCACTGTATTGGAGAAACTTGTAATTTAACATTTCAGATTTCATTTGACTGGTAGAATCCGTACACTTTGTATTAAAGTCAGACAGAAAGAAATACCAATGAAGTGGAAAATCTTTAGTTGCTGATGAAAAATTAAATTGTCATGGAAGTCAACAAACACCTTTTGCCCTATTTCAGCTCAGTCCAGTCACACATAGACATCAGGTTGTTCTGAAAGCTTCCCTGCAGGCTCAGCACTTCAAACATCAAGTGACCCAAAAAAAAAGAAATGACCCAGAACATGTTGACACACTGTCTCAGATTCACTACTGAGAATTGAATGGCTTATGACCAGTGTGATCTGTTCCATAAATACACCAACAAAGGGTTCGTACTTTGATTCATACTGTAACAAAAACATCAATTCCAAAAAGGCCAGAAAGAGTATATACAACATGCGTAACGGATAGGGACAAGAGTACTGCAGACCCCAACCGCTGGTCTGTGAGCCAATGGGAAAAGAGCTGGGTCTCCTTGTGCATCACTTCCTTTTCTGTTACAAAAGCAGGAACAAAACGTACAAGTTTACCTTTGCTGTGTTAGCTTGATCAAGGATAAAACTGACCAAAGGATCTACGAGAATTGTTATCTATGAGAATTGTTTTCCCTCCTGGTTTCTAGTTTAGATCAATGGGACAATATCACATGCGGACCCATCAGGTTATGAACAGACGCTTATTGTTTATGGCAATGCAGACTCCATTAAAACAAAATCTACTACAGGCTGGGTAGGATTTCAACAAGCACAATGAAACCAGACACATTATGTGAGAGTTTACAAATTCCTCATTTAGTCTCAACCCACACTTCATTCACTTCATCCACACTTCATTTCCATGGACAAGGAGAAGCATTGAAACAGTATAATATGATGCAGGATGTAAAATCAACCAACATACAGTAAACTACCATGCACCATGCACTGAGAGTGCAGTCTCAGATGGTATTTGTATGCTCATTTTCTTCTGAGACATTCATGAACCTGTGCTGTTCTGTATTCAGCAGACACGTATATAATTACGGTTCATGTGTATCATTAATTCCCCCTTTCGTTTAGTCAAATTAAGTCGTTAAACTAAGGACTTCCTTTTGATTAAACTTGGTATCTTTATTGCACAGCTGTTTTGTTTTACTGGTTTGCGATTTCTGTACCAGGTGATGTGCAGCAATTGAGTTATGATGTAAATATCCCAAATTAGTGTTTATATGCATGAAGGGAGATATAAATGCACAACCTGTACTTCAAATTTAATATAAAAAAATTGCCCACAAATATTTGGGTTGGTGTAATTAGGCACTTAAAAACAAATCGATATTTGTATATGAACAATGGATTAAATTACTATATTTTATGTGAAAGGGGAGTGACATCTCTGATCTGTCAGGAATGGAATTCCCCTCAGCTCTGCTCTGGCTTTTAGCCCATTTTAGCTCATTGTTTTGAGTCAGCTGTGTGGATAGTGGTAGTGGGACATTTAGCTGCAGAAGACTCGGGCCCCACATACACTTATCCGGACCCAGACGCTCTCCTATCCGGACCCGGACGTATAACTGATGGATAATTGAGAATTATACATTTTGGCGGATCGCTTCTATTTTAATCTGCACAACTTTTCTAGCCTTTAGGGCACTCAGTCAGCAGTTCAGGAAATACACCGACCAATTACATGCATTGGAAATCATCTCAGATGTAGCCAGTCTGCTCAGCCAATCGAATATCTCTATTCTGAAAGGCATTGTGAGCCGAGTGAGATCTACACACAGACAGGGGAGAGATGGGGAGAGAGAGAGCAGAGGGAGAAGTGAGTCGGAGAATCAGATTCACACAGCGTACTCTAAAAAGTGAAAAGTGGACCACGAAAACAGAGCTTTTATCAAAGAATGGACAGACTCTTATTTGTTCATTTTTCCTGCTTGTGCTACAAAACCACTCTGTCTCATGTGTTCAGATACCGTGGCCATTATTAAAAGCGCCAATGTGAAACGCCACTACGAGACCAAACATGAATCTTTTAAGCAAATATACCCACTCCAGTCTGAACTGAGGGCAAGATGTTATTAAGATGTGTAGAGATTGTTTATTATAAAGTTGACTGAGACCGTTATGATGTGAAATGGATTTAAAAAGTTAACTCCATGCAGCCACACTTTCCTTTTCATTATTTTTTCTAA